CCTTTATTTATGCAGGTAGTCTCATTGAGCCACGAGAACTCATTTTCAAGAGAGACCTGTTTTAGGGAGCAAATGGTAAAATCTTGCTCAGGGGCCCAGAGTGGGTTGAATGAGGGTGAAGGCAGGTGTGGGTGTTTCACCTTTTCCACCCACATTTTGATGTTGACTGTACCAGGAGGTGAACCTGCGACTTTCTGATCCCAGGACCATCTTCTCTAACCTCTGCGCCACCACTCCCCCATATGGTTGACTCCCCAACCCCAAATCAGACTATAGTCCAAACTTTAATATAAAAAAGACTCAGCCTTTGAAAGATTTTGTTGAAGTATATAAATTATTTGCTTTGAATGAAAACCAAAAAAAGCTTTTTTAAACAACTCATTTTTTCCCCCCATATTTTTATACTAATTCAATTACAGTAGTCCCTTGATACTTTGTGTTCGTTTATTGCAGACTCGCTCTATCACGGCTTTTCAAAATAAGATTGGACATGACACACAACTGGCTGATTGATGGATGAGCCACATGATCTGCATGGAATTTTTATTTAAAATAAAGTATTTGAAATTATTTAGCACCTCCTGCACCTTTGTGCAGCCCACAATGCAGGATAAGCTTCCTTCTGCAGCTGATCAGCTGTTCTTTGTGCAGAGCGGCGAAGTGGGCGCGGCTGAGAGCAGTGGAGGCAGGGAGCTGAAATCATGACATTGTGTGCTCTTTTAGATAGCTTAGAGTTTAGAAACATTGTTTAGAATATTGCAGGAGTGTGGGAAAGGTTTAAAACACCTTTTATATATGTATGTATAAATAATAAAATAAATTACTACTTACTAGTTGTATTACTATTCCTATTTTGTGGTTTTTCACTTATCAAGGGACTTCAGGGTACGGATCCCCCACGATAAACGAGGGACTGCTGTAATTGTTTTTCTACAAGAGGACATTACTTTTACTGTTTCAGACCATCATAAATGCATTGTAAGTGCAGATGAGACAAGCGTTTCAGTCGTTCTTCTGATCATCTCTGCATTGTATGGTTAAAAATGTTAAAGCTACACACAGTCTGCAGCAAACAGACACAAATGACCCTGAAGGCTGTGGTCCAGATGACAAAATGTCAAAATGTCACAGAGGACCTGCGAAACCAGACGCAGACGCTACAAATTCTCCTAATTAATGTCAACAGCTGGACTTTTACCAAACAAGACTAAGTTTGACTCATTTCTTCAGATATCTGCTTGAATCTGCTTGTTTAGGTGAAATTAAAGAAAAAACACGGTGGCCAGACAGATCATTGTTACGTGGTAAAATTAGTTCCCCAGAAAAGAATCATCACTGTTCTCATGAACGGAGGAGACTGAACTGGATTATTTAGCCGCAGTTTGGCTCATTTAATGCTTTATTTTAAAGTCCATCATTGTGCAGATAACACTGGGTGGACAGAAAACAGTGTAAATGTAAAGAAACAGAAGAAAATGAGGGGCTGCTTTTTCCTTTTAGTCTGGGTTTCAAGGTCACGAAAAAGAGGCCATTAAATATTTAGTTTAGGCTTCAAGGAACGTGTTTCATTAAGATGAAAAATGTGGCTCTGTCTGCCGGTAACGGTAGGATTTCTGACATCATCTGCTCAGATTTATTAGGAGCCCAAAGGAAGATGTTCAGAAGTGAAGCATTAGACTAGGTCAAATCAGGCCTGTTTTGCTGCTTCGTCCTGCCGCAGGCGAAAAGTAACCGCCGTTTAAAGGATGAGCTTGAAGTAGGAGCATCGTTTTCAAACTGGGACTTTGAATAATTCATCGCTCAGGAGAATGTTTGTCTTCATCCCCGCCTCCAGTCTTTGTTGCTTTTACTAAATCCAAACAGTTCGGATTTTTTTTAAACTTCTTGGCATCTCATCAGTGTAGTAAGCAGAACCTCTGTCCTCGTTTTTCCTTTTCTTGTGCGCTGTTAAATAAAAAAGCTGAGTGTGAGGAAACATCTAGAGTGAGATGGAGGGAAGATCAGAACATGCGATCTTCAGTTTACATCTGTACACATTACGCTGACATGCTGATGGGAGCAGTGAAACGTAAGGTTCTTGGCCTTCTATCAGTCAAAGCCTACGTAAACTTACATTTACAGTAATTATTGTATCATTTAACTGACGACGTAGCGTTCTGCTGATGTGATTCTATTCCCTATAAACCAGAGTTAGTAGAAGCTGATAACGAGTGGAATTGTAGTTTGTGTCATTCTCGTTCCATTACTCATTTCCTCTGTTTGCATGTTCCCCCCCATCACAATCTCTCCACTCAGTCTGTCTTCCTGTCTTCTTTTTCCTGCTCAGATCTCTCACTTTTTGACCTTCTTGTCCATCAAATTTCCACAAACAGAACAGACAGAAATAACAGTTCATCTTTTTATGTTTGTGCTTTTCTCATTTCCTTTCACTTTGGCCTCTTTTCGCATATCAGGTGCTGTCATACTCTTCTGTGGCTGCTGGTTTATCACCAGTGGCTTGTGTGTGTGTGTTGGGGGTGGGGGTGGGGACACGCCCCTTGGTTAATTATAGAGGGGACATGGGCTGCTCTGCATTTGTGAATGTTGTGGTTCGCTCAGTGCAACAGCATGAAATCAGCACGGTCACCCCGCCCAGCTTGACATTCACTCGAGGGGTCAGGGTTCCCTCTTTGATGAGTCCATTAGTCCATGTTCTGTTTTTAAACCCTCGTGCTGAGGAACCATCATCACCGGGCATTACCATGTTTTTCTTCCTATTTTTATATAAGTGGCATGGTGGGCCTTCTGTAGGGGATCTTTGATGTTCTTTTGTTTGAAGTAAAAAGTATTGTCCACAGTCAGTATAGTTCAGTAAGTAGCCATGCATTTACCAAGATGTTAAATCCCATGAATAAAAAAAAACAAAAATTTTTAGTGAATTCACAAAATGTATTTTTAGTGTTTCATCCCTGTGTCTGCACAGAAACTTTGTTTTAGGAGCCCTAAAATTGTATATTTTAAAAATGATTTCCAAAGTGAAAAATTTTTGAAATGCCACCTTTGCTTTTTAGTGTAAACGAAAAAACATAACCTTTTAAAAAACAATAATGTCAAAGCCATCCATCCATCCATCCATGCATTATCTTTTACCTACTTCTTCTTTTTCGGGTCGCGGGTGTCACTGGTGCCCATATCCAGCCATCACTGTGCGAGAGGTGGGGGACACCCTGGACAGGTCTCCAGTCCATCACAGTGACACATAGAGAAAAAAGACAAACAACCATTCACACTCTCACTCTCACCTAGGAACAATTTAGTTAACAATCAGCCTAACATGCATGTTTTTGGTCTGTGAGAGTAAACCTGAGTACCCGGAGAAAACCCACCCATGCACGGAGAGAACATGCAAACTCCACCCAGAAAGGTCCCAGACTGGGATTTGAACCGGCGACCTTCTCTCTGAGGGGCAACATCTCTACCAGCTGAGCCACCTAATGCCAAAGCTCCACCTTTAATTTAACCTACGCCCAAATTGTCATTTTTCTTGTTGTGTACCCAGTGTACAAGCTTTATGTGCATGCTCTGAGCCTTGTTTCCTGTTTTTGGTGTGTTCTTGAACAACATTACAGCGCCACATACAGATCTGGTATCATTACTAGTGTTATGGGGTCGTTTTCAGGGTTTCCACAATGGATGACAATGGACAATGGATAAAGAGCTTCATTTGTTAGTCTGGCAAAACCTCTACATTTTTTCAATTTATTTATTATTATTATTTTTACAGTACTATTTGACCTTTTTAACTTTTAGGAGAAAGCAAAAAGAACATAAGAAAACGTCAAAATTTAAAACAAAATGCTCTGAAGTTTATCGGATCATTGTTTTGTCTGGATTTCAGGTTTGCTTTTTTTTATTTTTAGCCCAGCTAACTTCAGTTTGCTCCCTACCTCTCCTTTAGACCTCATGCAAACTCCCTAAAGTGTTTTAAAGAAAAGAAAAAGCAGTGGTTTATTTTCCTCTTGCATTTGTAACTTGATGTGGAGGATCACAGACTCCATGTGCTCTAACATATGAAGCTGGGCCATAGAAGGCCCGTGTGTTTGTGCACACGTCAGCTTGCATTTGGACAGGCGGGTGGGGGTGGGGGATACAGAACAGGTGGATGTGGTCTCTGCAGTCC